TGTCAAACACATTTGTACACTTGTTGCCCTCATCATTCTCAAAACTTTGTTTTCTACTTAAGCCCTTGGTATCAGCTCCTCATTTTCCCCCCTCCTTCTCCGCTCCCTTTCTCTCATGAACCCTTGATAATTTATAAGCAGGGTTAAGCTTTTTATAAACTGTTTAGCAGTCTAATTTTCTTGGGAACACATATTATTTGAATATTTAATTATGCAGAAAACTTCAACCCAACCAAACCCAAGTGTCATACAAGACAGGAGGTCTTGCTAGTTTGGCATTACCTTGGCATGTGTCAGGATCGCCAAGGTCCGGCCAAGTGTATTTGATCAAATCATCTTACCAGAGTCCAAGTGGACTCAGAGGCCTTGATGATGCAGACTCAACCAACGGAGAACGAAACTGTCATTTTCTCAGCGTGTTGTCTGGGGCACACCAATTCTTCCGTTTATATCTGTGCAATTCAATGCCTTGATTACTTTCCTACTGACTTTTTAATTCCAGGGGCGCCGGTGTGTGTTGAAAGACTGTTGCAAAATTCTTGACAACACAGTATTACCCCCTGAGACTGTGGTCCCACCATTCACCGTCTTCTCAGGCTGCCCAGGTAACTTTGGGGCTATTTTTCATCACAAATTAATCAATGGCTCTCTTTCTAAGCATATGCTGGTCTAGCTAACTCATAGGTTCCCAAACTAATTTGGCCTGCCACTCCCTTTTCAGGAAAAAAATTACTCAGCGGCCCTGTCCCTGGCAATGAAAAGCTTTTGACCTATAGTCCATAATCCAGGATAACGTGCAGGTACCTCTTGATCATGCCAGTGCTAATTTAAAGAGCATCTTGGTAAAAAGTGCCTATACATTTCCCCTAAAACATAACAGTCTTAAAATGCTTAATTGGGGTCCCAAGGAAGTAGAAGGGTCAAATAAAAAAGAGGACATTAATCCAAGCATGCCTAGACGAGGCCATCTTTGTAGCAGGGTGTTTTAGGGTTTGATACATGTTTGGGGATGCGAGGTGAAGCCTAGGGTAGAAACCCTGGGAGATCTCAAAGGTTCATGTAGAACAGATCTGCCTGCAGCACAGGGGTGTGTACAGAGAAACTTGACTCTGTTGGCCTGGAGTCCAGGGGTCCTCAAACTTTTAAAACGGGGCCAGTTCAGTGTCCCTCAGTCTGTTGGAGAGCCGGACTATAGTTTAAAAAAAAAACAACTATGAGCAAATTCCTATGCACACTGCACATATTTGGTTTTGCAGTGAAAAGACGGGGCAAAAACATCCGGCGGGCCAGATAAATGTCCTTGGTGGGCCACATGTGGCCCGCGGGCCGTGGTTTGAGGACTCCCAGAGCTGGATTGAAAAAGTCTCTAGAGAATTCTCACTATGAACTTCCATGTCACCCTGACTGGAGAATCTCCAAATGGAAAAGTAAACATGAAGCATGACCTAAGACTCATTTCTCAGGGATAACTGACAAGGGCGAATATCTCACCCACCTCAACCCTGTCTGACACAATTGGCACAATGAGTCCGTCTCTCCCTCCAGCAACCCACTAGACCCCCACTCAGAGCTCCAAAGTAGAAAATATCTGAGGAAACAAAGACAATACATGTTCATCCCAGAAAACTTGGAAAGCCCTAGAAAGCAGAAGGGAAAAAAAAAAAATCCTCCTTCCCAGACCAGGATGTCCATTGCTATGTTTTGTTCATTTTTAAAAACGGTCTCTTCTGCATGCCGTTGGACACAGTTGAAATCTTGTAGTGTGTCCAGGGTTGAATTTTCAAAATCACAGATGGAATATGATAGGAAGAGAAAGATTTGATATGATAATCTACAACTGGGTGATTTCATTGTTTTCCCAATTAACAAAAAAACAACAGATCTCTGAATTTGAGTTACCAAGAGATACAAACTCAGTGTGGGAATCCCTTAAGGGGGAAATTGGCTATTGCATTGTTTCATGCATCTCTGCTTTTGTGGGGAGGAAGGAGAGGCTTGTTCAGTCGTTTTACCCATGTTTGTTGTGGCTGCTGCTGTGTGCCATTGGGTTGATTCTGACGTGACTCTATGACAGGGTGCAACCTACCCAGAATCCCTAGGGGAGCAGATTGCCAGGTCTTTTCTTTCATGGAGCAACTGGTGGATTTGTACCACCATCATTTCAGTTAGCAATCAAGCTATCAAGACTCCTTATTCTTCCCATCCTGGGTTCCAACTCCGGAAAAGTCAGGCTGTTCTCAGTACGTACTGGACCAGTACAGCTCCAGCGATTGATTTAAGTGCTTGTTAGACCGGTGTCTGCTCTGAGATGAGAAGAATATTGCCAGAGAAATATCTCAATTTTCTTTAAAAAAACATGCTCACATTCATTAGAACCATTGGCGATTGAGTATTGATGGCAGAAGACTGAAGCATTGCGTGGTTTTTCAACTGGAAGGTGATAGAGGAGAATTCAAGCTGCATGCGATCAGGAAACAGACCTAGAGAGGCTGCTCATCAGAGGTATCAAAGTAGGAATGCTGTGAGGAGCACGGAAAACTCCCATGATGCAGTGGCCTGAACTCCCTGTACTTCTCAGGAGCCAGGGTATTTCGCAGGTGTTTGTTGCACTGTGGCACAGAAAACTGCTAACATCTGGCTACTGCTTTGGCCACTCCCATTTCTGAAGCAGAGACGGGTCAGGACAACCAGGACAACCAGGCCGCTCGGAGGAGAGAACAGCATGTCAGGCAGCAGAGTGAAAGCAGTCCGTCCAGACAGGATGCTGATCAGGAGCCAGAACCTCAGGTGTCTGTGGGGGCCAGGCAGATAACATAAAGACTGGGCTAGTAGCTCTCAGAACTATCTTAAGAATGCAGCACGCTAAAAATACAAATTTGTACGTGAAAGCTCAGAATGTATGTTGGCGACTAATTTTTAAAATCCCGTTAAATACTGTGCAGACTCAGTATAAGTTTGTAAGTCAAATATAGGCAGGCAATTTGCAAAGGGTGCCTCTGAGAATTTTGGAGTTTTTAGACTCTTTTTTTAAAGAGTATCTCCTATTATGTATGTGAGTGAATGTATAGGATGTGTTTGCATATCATATGGATATATGAAACTGTTGATACTTAAACATTTTCTAGACTCTCTAAACTGTTCTGAAATTTACTTTATTAAACAATCTATCTTGCACATCTTTTTCTATCAGTACATAGGTTTTAATCTCATTCCTTTTAATGGCTATTCTTTTTGACAGAAGAGGCAAAATGAAAGCCATTATTATTTATAGAAAGCAGACAGTAAATAATAACAGATTCTCAAAAGAAAGACGACCTAACCTTCTCCACATTGCCATGACCATCCTTATGTTGCTGGGCAAGCACCCCATGGTTCAGGTCAGATGCTAGGATCACAGCACCGCTGCCTCTGCGTCCAGCCATACACAGCTCGGGCCTGTATGGCCCCCAGTGCTAGGGTGGGGGGGTGTCTGCCGCTGAGTCTCACTAACCTATACTGCCGCCTCCTACTGTGCTGCTGGGCTTGTGAATCTTTCTCTCTTGCCACCATACTTCCCAGGACGGGAGGCCTGTGACCCTTGCATAGGGCAGCCTCCGCCTCTGTTGCCCTGCATAAGTGCGGTTTACAGCTCTTTAAACCCCTCTAGCAAGCCTACTGCCCAGAGATATCGGTTCTTACCTTCTGTAGGAAGATGCTTTGCCCTACTTGGGTAGGTGTTTCACAGTTCTTTCAGCGTCACCAGTAAGCTGCCTGCCCAGAGGCTCTCAGCTCTCCCTCCATGGGCTGGCAAGCCCACTGCCATTACCACTTGCCATCTTTAGTGTTACAGCTCTCTCTTCTGGGTCTTCAATGCAGGGACCTCAGATCCAAAGGACGCACTCTGCTCCAGACTTCTCTTGAAGCTAATGAAGTTCCCTTACTGTGGAGTAGACCCTTGTCTAGGCCTACCAATTGCCATTTTCAAGGTATGGTCCTTCCAGCAGGACCACGAACTGACCATTACCCTTTGTGGACTATAAGTCACTCAATTTGCATGGTCTCAGCCAAACACTCGTTTTCCGAGCATTCGAAGACCATGGCTAGAAAAACCATAGAAAAGAACTCCATTGTACTGTGTCTAGTCTGGGAGCTTCACCTGGGTTCATAAACTCAGTTGCCATCCAGTCCTTTCTGTTAGATGATAACCCCATGGTGTCACAATGAGCTGTAGTCATGGGGTTTTCTTACTGTATTTTGGTTTTGGTGGGGGGTTGCACAATGGCTTAGGTTCCCAACCAACAATCTGTGTGCATTGTTCCATGACGTGGAGAATATTTTCCATGGTGTGTACACATTCTCATATTTCCAGGCTGGTTGTTCTGGTTACATGTCTTTCATTGTATCAGAGTGTACCGCACTATAGCCAAGCAGCCCCTTAGAATAATGAGTCATTCTAAATTGTACCATGTTTACCACCATTAGAATCTTTGCTGCATTGAACGCTCTTGTATACAAGTTGTTGTGTGATTGAGCAAGGCTACCTGTGGGATAAATTCTGAGAAGTTATATTGTTCAGTTCCAGCCTAGGAGCTTAGACAGATTGGCTCCTCTGTTATGGTAGAAAGTTGTCAGAAAAGGAAAAGGTAAGTGTTTTCACTGTTGAAGAGCGATAGCAAAATAGTAAGGCGACCCTGTTGAAGGTGGAAAACATAAGAGACCTGGAAACACAACCCCATCTCGTTCCAGCTCTCATGGGCTCCACTGTATTTCTGAATTGCCCTCCAACAAGGTGGTCTGAATGTCCACTCCCACCAGCAGTGTAGGAGGGCGCCTCTGCCCTGGACATTCCTACATATAATTGCTCCAGCTTTGTCTTTTATTCTGCTATTTTGTTGCCTTCTCTTCCACGAATTGCATCATATTTAGGTATTAGATTCAGTGTTGTTGTATGAATAGCAGGGCAGTTTTCTTACTTCAAGAGCTCTTACTTTGTCTCAGAAGGTATCACATCAGAATCCTGGGGGGTGGACAGGTCTTTAGAGCAACCCCTGATGTAGTCAGAGATCCTGAACTCCTCAGATCATGTAATATACTGTGCTCACTTCTCATTTCTGGAGTATATGTGTATATATTTTTTCATTTTGGGAACTACAATTTGTTTTACACATATAGTCATGTTATCAAGAAGATAAAGTCAGTGGACGATTCTGTTAATACTGAAAATGGGTAACTTAGCATTTATACCAGCGGTTCTCAAATTGTGGTCGCAGCCCCATTGAGGGGTGAGTAACCCTTTCACAGGGGTCACCCGATTCATAACAGTAGTAAAATTACAGTTAAGAAGTGGCAACAAAAATAATTTTATGCCCGGGGTGGGGGGGGGTGTCACCACAACATGAGGAGCTTTATTAGAGGGTCACAGCATTAGGAAAGTTGAGGACCACGGTTTTAAACACTCATGACTACTTAGGGTTTAAACAGGAATCAGCTGCAAGTCTTCCTGGCTCCCTGTGGTTGACCAGGTCTTGCTTTCTTTCCCTAGGACTCTTCTCGGGGGAGCTCCCTGAGTGTACCCAGGAGCTGATGATGGACGTCACCAAGAGCTACTACCAGAAGTTTTTGCCCCTGACACAAGTCTAGTGTCTCCTCCGACCTTGAATTTGCGTGAGCTCTGAGATGAACTGGGGACAGAGTGCGCCAGTCAGCTTCCACAAAGAGCTCTTGTGTCTCCTTTTTTTTTTTTTAATTTAAGTTCTTTCTGATTTTGTAATTCTTCAAGGCTCTAAGGTCTTCAATATTTAATAACAGAATGGCTGGAAGAGTCACCAAATGCTGTGTTTAAACTTTCTTCACACCATTTGGAACACACTCGTCCATTTCTGACAGTTTCAACCCCATCGTCCTGTGGATGGATAGATGCTGCCTGAGCGGCTGAGCGGACGCACCTTGTCTGAGCATGGAGGCTACGTAGCTGGTGTGCTGCGCCACAGATCGCGCTTAGCGTCCCTGCTGCTATTGATTGATGGCCACAACTCATAATCCTGGGGGAAATGTATCAATTTTCAGAGCGTAGTTTCCAAGTTGGTCTGTGAACCGCCCGGTGGGTAGTTCAAAACTACCAGCCTCTTTCTTGGGAGAAAGACTGTGTTTTCTACTCCTGTAAACAGTTAACAGTCTCAGAAACCCTTGTGGTCGCTATGATTCAGCACTGACTCCATGGCAGCAAGTCGGGGTTTTTTTGGAGATTCGTGTTGGGTACCAAAAGTTGGAGGGAGGACTCATGCTTCCTTTACTGCTTCCTTCTTCCAGAAATAGTTCCTCCCCGGGTGGTGAGAAAGGGACTTTCTAGCGTTCTTTTGTTGGCTCTTTGACCTTCACGAAACGGAGGCACCGTGGCACCCAGGCTCTCTTTTGCTAACCCCTGTCGTTGAGTCTCCGGTGTAGTGGGCTAGTCTGGCAATCACTCCTTGTCTGAAGCTACTTCAAGGCAGTGGAATATTACTTACTCCACTGAAGACCTAGCAGCACTTAATGATACTGACTCCCTGTCCCAGAACCATTCAACTCGCTCTGTGTTTGGCACAAACCCCACAGTTCAGACTAAAATGTTTGTACTTGAACCCAGTCACGTATAACTGGTGGGGGTTTCTGAACTATCTTGTGAGCCCAGGGCCCCAAGGATTAAAGGAAGGTGCCAATGGTGTTCTTACCACCTCCTCCTGGTCACACAGGCTTTCCTGGTTCTGTTGCGATCTTGGCTTTAAAAAGGAAATTTCAGAAGTGAGGGGCAGAGGAGGTTGGCCTTGCTTGATGTCTAATTCTGCTGCAAACAAAGTAGTGTAGCATTTAGCCCTGAAGGTTAGCATCTAGCAGGAGCCTTCTTACCTTAAGATCCAAGTATAGGGTTTGCAGATACAGGGATATGTAAACATCACTGTTTCAATGTAAAACTGCTTTCTGGTTTGTCACATGTTTTTGTGTTTGTACATTAAAAAAATTCACCTATGAAAGAAGTCACTTGAAGGTGTGGCATCTCTTCCTCAAGCATGTTGCTGTGTACCTACACACACCAGCTTGCTGAGTTCACACAACTCAGTCAGATGGGTGCTATTCCCATTTTACAGCTGAGAAAGTCTAAGACACTAGGGAACTTCAAATCAGTCCGTAGGCAAGTGGCTGACCCAGGAGTCCCATGTGTGTCTGTGTGTCCGCACAGGCTGTGCTGCTCAGGTCTGACCTGGAAAGGGGAGACATGCTTACCGTAAGGTTGATCCACATCTGCTTATGTCTCATCTGATACCAGCAGTGGGGTGACTGCAAGTGTGTGTGGCCTCATTCAGCCGGCTCCTCCAACTCCCTTCTCCTTTTGTGCGATCAAAAAGTGAAATTCGGCATCGGCAGAGGTTAGATGCTCCCTAGACTCATCTTCCAGGGCACATGTACTAGATTAGCACCCAGCCAACAGGAAGCTGGCCATGTTCCGTGGCTGACTGTCCACTTGGTAAGCAATGAAATCAAGAGAGAGAGTGTGTATAGGGGTGTGTGCTCATATGTGTGGATGGTATTCTTTTTGCCTCTCATCACACAGTTTTTGAATGGTTAAGTAATTTAAGCTATGGATCTTAAAAATCCAATCCAATTACAAAAGAAGGAAAACAAGATAACATAATGGAGTAGCTCTTCCTTATCCAGAGTCCCAGTCTCATATTCTGCTGTCCAGGGACAACCACTCCGAACAGCTCTTGGTCTATCCCAGCAGAGGGGTGTGTGTGTGTGCATGTCTGTGTGTGCATTTCATACAAATGAGAGCAAACTTTGTGCTGCCTTACACCTTGTTTTTTCCGTTAATAATAACTCTTGGCAGTTGTGTTCACACATGTTATGCAGCTTCAGAAAGCTGTGGGAAAATGCTGTCTTAAAATTGTGTAAATGTGGCTGTCGCCCTATAGTAGAGTACACAAGGGAGATCAGACAAAATTCAATGAAATCTCTTTTTAGCAAGTGACAGAAACCCAACAACAGAAATCCAATTTGAACTAATTTAAGCAAGAAAGGATTTTTATTGGCTTAGAAACAAGCTATGGTTAAGATTACCCTGACATGGAATGTAATGGGCTAATTACTTAATTTCTCTATCTCGGGACCCTAATTTGCCCAATGGGAATAACAACATGCCAGAGTTGGTGTGGATTTGATGACTTACTGTGTGTAAACATTAAGGATTGTTTCTGTCACTTCGAATCACTCATAAGTAATAGCCAGTATCATTGCAGGGGCAACTCTATCCAAATATTTAACCCTCTTCAGGGCACTTTGGCATTTTGTCTTCCCCCGCCCATGAGTAAAGGACCGTGTAACAAAGCAGTCGCTGAAATACAGTGGCTCAGACAAGATGGATGTTATTTCTCTCTCATCCAGAGGTAGGCTGTCATCCAGGGCGGATAGGTGCTTTCTGGGGGCTCTACAATCTGTGACCCAGATTGAGTTAATCACAAGACGACACTCCTGGCCATCGTGGCTGTACCACAGTGGCGTGTGACTCATAACAAGGCACTGAGCACCTTTCTTTGGCATTTTCCAAATTAAAACTGGAAGGGAAGAGACCTTTCTTGCAGGGTCTCCCAAGGTAGGCACAGAAGGCCTTACTGTTGTCATGTGGTCACACTTAGTCACAAGGGCGCTGTCATTTTATTCTCTAGATGGACAGTCACATGCTCAGCCAAACCTCTTAGGAAGGAGGTTCCAGGGTTAAAAAGGGAAAGAGGAGAATGGACATTCATAAGGCAGCGAGCAGGCTCTTCCCTGCCTGGGAATTGGTTTCCTTTTCCTTTCCTCCTCCTCCCAGTAGGCTTTCTCCAGGCTGTGGGAGACGCTGCAATGGACAGCCCAGGCGTACATCTTCCTGACTTGGAGACCCTGAAACAAAGACTCTTCCCTTCCAGTTTCCATTTGGAACATGTGAAGTAAAAGTTCTCAGTGCCTTGTCGTGAGTCACATGCCACTTGGGTACATCCACAGGGGTCATGGGCATTCCAGTTTGTGATTAACCTAATCTGGAAAACAGCCTTTCCTTCAGCCTTCTGTGGTGGGAATAGAGTAATCTACTCGACAAAGCAGCTTGCTGAGAAGACAAACAATAGCTGGTGTGCTGATAGTGTGTAAAGGTGTGCTGACAGTTATGAGCATGTGCCCTAGGAAAGGCCAGCTGAACTCTGTCTCATGGTGGCTCTTGCCCTTGGGACAGTCTTCTAGGCCAATTACTTTATAACCCCAGGGGAGGTCTCTGTCCCTAGAATAGCCCCAGAAGAGTGAGCAGATGGGAGAGAATTTGATGAGAACTCTATCCAGTTGACTTAGTGGGGGGGTGGGGGTGGCGGGGGGTGTTTTTCGCTCATGAAGGCCAGGGCTAGATTAGGCTTCAGGCTGGATCCCAGGACGGGGAGCCGTATCATGAAACTGTGTCAGGGCTCTTCAACTCTTGGCTCTGCCTTCCTCCTCGTTGGCTAAAAACACAGGTTTTCCTGTGTGACCTCATAGTTTCAGTGATTGGTAGGAATCAATTCCTGTCCTTTAAATAACCCTGGGCTTGGCTCTCATTGGCCCAAATTTGGGAATGTACTGAAGCTTCCAATCATCACTGTGGGCAGGAATATGGAATACACTGATTGGCTAGATCTGGGGACTATGCTCACTCGCAGTGAGAGTTGTGGTGAGGGGTGCAGGGGATGGTGTTACCACAACAAAGGACTAATAATTGCTGGCAGGACAAATTATCACTTGTCCACTACAGGCCTCTGTCCTTTCCCTGATGTCTTTCTTCACTTTCCTCTGTCCCACTGTTCACTCTTGCCCCTTGTCCAATTTCTCCTTACTCTTAGTTTCTATGATTTTCGCCCCCTTCACTCTTGAGGGAGCCCCTGGGCATGGATTTAGGTTGAGAGGGAAGGTGTCGCTTGACCGAATTGGGTGTTCAGTAAAGAGCCTTTTGGAGAATGCTTTTCTGCCTGCAACTGCTTCCATGCGGTCCCCTTAGGACTCGGTGGAGGGGCCCTTGCCAAGGTCTGGATAGAATTCTTGCTGTGTGCCTGCCTTCTGGTGTGAGCTTACTCTGAGGAGTCAGGCACGAGTCTGGATGCCCAGCACTCAACGACGTCATTGTCTGGATATGAGCCCTCCCACCATATGTACCCCAGATCAGCCTCACTGTACAGGATTTCTGGTACGGGGAACAAGGTTGAATGACTCGTGAGCCTCCTGTTGACCAGTTTTGTTCTTCAGGCTGCTTGGGTTCTTGTGTATGGTTGGGATTTGAAGTTGCTTCAAATCAGGCACTTGGGCATGAGCCAGTGTGACCACTCCAAACCTGAGGCCACAGTTCCTTTGCTAGTGTCTCTGACCCACCCAGTGGGTAGCAGCCAGGTTAAAATTGCTCTTATTATTTTTATTATTTAATCATTTTATTGGGGGCTCTTACAGTTCTTATCACAATCCATACATACATCCATTGTGTCAAGCACATTTGTACATATGTTGCCATCATCATTTTCAAAACATTTTTTTTCTACTTGAGCCCTTGGTATCAGCTCACACCCCCCCCCCACCATCCTTCCCTCATGAACCCTTTATAATTTTTTTTTTCATGTCTTACACCAATATCTCCCTTCACACAACTTTTTTGTTGTCCGTCCCCCTGGGAGGGGTTATATGTAGATCATTATGATCGGTTCCCCCTTTTACCCCTCACCTTCCCCTTACCCTCCTGGTATCACTACTTTCATTATTGGTCTTGAGGGGTTTATCTGTCCTGGATTCCCTGTGTTTCCAGCTCTTATCTGTACCCTTGTACATGCTCTGGTCTAGCTGGATTTGTAAGGTAGAATTGGGGTCATGATGGCGGGGAGGAAGCATTAAGAACTAGAGAAAAGTTGTACGTTTCATCAGTGCTATACTGCACCCTGACTGGCTCATCTCTTCCTTGTGACCCTTCTGTAAGGGGATGTCCAATTGCCTACAGATGGGCTTTGGGTCTCCACTCCGCACTCCCCCTCATTCAGATTGATAAGATTTTTTGTTCTGGGTCTTTGATGTCTGATATCTGATCCCAACAATACCTCATGATCACACAGGCTGGTGTACTTCTTCCATGTGGGCTTTGTTGCTTCTCAGCTAATTTGTTTGTTTATCTTCAAGCCTTTCAGACCCCAGACGCTGTATTTTTTGATAGCCGGGCACCATCAGCTTTCTTCACCACGTTTGCTTATGTACCCATTTTGTCTTCGGCGATCGTGTCAGGAAGGTGAGCATAACAGGATGCTGGATTATTAGGACAAAGTGTTCTTGCATTGAGGGAGGACTTGAGTAGAGGCCCAATGTCCATCTGCTACCTCAGTACTTAACATGCCATATATACTCAAGTATGAGCCAACTAGAATATAAGCCAAGGCACCTAATTTTACCATAAAAACTGCATTAAAAATGTGCTGAAAAATTCGAGTCTATACGGTATAAATATATGCACATAAATCTATTTCTCTATCATTATATAAAAATATATTTACATATATATAATGCCTGTGTTTAGACCTCAATGTCCTTTGCCTCCTAGCTCCTTTGACTTTCCTCTTGTCCTACTATCATGTTCGGCCTTCATTCAGGTTCCTGTAATTCTTCTTGGCTACATTGCCCTTGATCAAGCCCCACCAGTTATCCTATGCCTGCTCGCTGTCAATTTTAGATTACTTGTTCTCTTGTCCCTGGGTTTGCTGACAACCCCTTGCTTTCCCCTGCCTCCCCAACATTGCTCTTTAATAAACACATTCTTGGAAGTTTCTCTGCTATCAAGAGGGCTCCTGGCTAGGAGGGGTTTCTTTGCTTCCTGGTGTGGTTGATGAGAGCCCAGTGGGTGTTGCTGGCTGTGACTTGGCTAGCCCTCCATCATTCTCCAGGGTAAGTTGGCATCTGACACACCTGAGTGGAAGCTATGGGTAGTCAGATCCAGCTGGAGAGAGGCTGCATCC